CCCCTCCCACTTCCTTCCCATAGTTACCTCTTCCCTGTGTCCTTCCCTCCCATGCACTCCTGCCCCCCCAGAGCTGTCTCCCTGTGTGTACACAGCCCTTCTATTCTCCCATGATTGGTCTCTCCAAGGAGTGTGTCTACCTAATGTAAATAAATGTTCAGCTCATATGCCTGTCTTTTGTTTGGCTGGAAGCCACAGGAGTGCATTCAATTACGGACTTGAAGGGCAGCTAGGGGCCATAGTCTCAGGAGTTTCACCAGGCTCTCTCACACTAACAAATCTGGTCCTTTTTTTTTTTTTTTTAATGATTTTGAGTTTTGTTCCACATTGTTCTCCCACTTTATCCAGGATCCCCTACATAGATCCCCCTCCAAGTGGTTGACAGTGGTAGCTGGGCACCATCTAGTTCTTCTGGTCTCATAGTCATATAGGCTGAGGATCACATGATGTACCAGTCACTTGTACCAATTGTTTCCATGCATCTTTGGTTTTCTTCATTCTTCTTTGCTCTGGATGAGGAGAGATCCATCACTGCATCTAAATGGCCACTTGCAAGCTTTTAAGATCCCAGTCACTACTCACCAAAGTAAGATGTGGAACAATGTTTTTGTGTAGTATGTTATGCCAGTTGACCTTGATGTCCCCTGGGACCATGGTCCCAATCAGCTATAATTTTTACAAGAGCATATCATTAGGCCTTTCTTCCATGGAGAGGCTGGATGAGTTCAAACCATCATCCTTTGGGTTAACCGTCAATCATAAAACCTTGTGCCACCCTACTTTTAAAGAACAGATAATAATACTTCATGAATTTTATGAAAGTTAAAAAATACCATAGCACAGAGAATAATTAAATAAAAATTAGCTGTTTTTTAATGAGAGCTAATTATAAGGGTTTTCAGCAGGGGAGCCCAGCTGCAAAGAAAACAGGCTTCATGGTGTCTCAGTTCCCTAGCACTGCTGTAGCAGAAATACCACAAGGGACTGGCTGTAAAGAACAGAAATTTATTTTCTTACAGTTCTGGAGGCTAAAAGCTCAAATCAGGATCTTCTCAGCCATGTTGATTCTTTCTTGTTGGTAGCCCCAAGTGTTCTTTGGTTACTTGTTGATCTTTATATGGTATCTGTCTTCTCCAGTGTGTGCCCACTTCTGTGTCTAAGCTGCTCTTTTAACAACTTAGAAGTGATTAGGTTTAGGACACATTGTGCATTGGCATGACCTCATTAACATAACAAAGAAAACTCTATTAGCAAACAGAATTGCATCCACAGGAACAGAGGTTGGGATTCCAACACATATTTTGGGGAGACACAATTCAATCTATAGCAGGTAGGTAAGAGGTTACTGCTATAGTCCCAGCATGAGATGGAGGAGATGGTAAGAAGGAGGCAGATTAAAGAGATTTAGGAGTTAGAGCTACCAAGGGTTAATAATGGGCAAACGTAGGAGAGAAGGAAATGGGTAGCAGTTTAGCTTGGCAAACTGAGGGATGGTGGATTAGTGTTGCTATGGACCAGGATAGGAAACAGAGGGGAAGCAGGACTTTGCAGGAGGAGGGGCAACAAAGTCCTTTAGGGCACATTGCATTTAGAGATACCAGGTGGACACATCCAGCCAACCTTTTGTGGCCCCACGTGGAGTTCTGCAGTGATCTCTGGACTAAAAACTGCAATCTGCAAGTCATTTCTATGGAGTCAAGAGCAGGTGCTCTGCTAATGTTTTGAAAGGAAAGAAGGTCGGTTGATTACTTTAATATCTCCATTTGGCCACATCCAAGGATTAGGGTATTTAGTTATTCCAAAATATGATTACAAATGCCCTCGTAATTAATTAAAGACAAGATGATCATTTGCTCCGAGGGATTTGGATATGTATGTAGGATGTGTCTTCCCAAATAACCAATGCTACCCCTGCTGGAAAGAGCTCTGGTGGTGCAATGATTAACGCATTTGGCTGTTAACCAAAAGGTCAGTGGTTTGAACCCACCAGCTGCTCCACAGAAGATGAGACAGTCTGCTTCCTTAAAGATGTACAGTCTTGGAAACCCAGTGGGGGTCACTATGAATCAGAATCTACTTAACAGCAGTGAGTCAATCCCTGCTGGAACTAGTCAAGCTTGTCTCCAGTAGTGTAAACTACAACACAGAGGCTTTATTCACTTCTGGTTAATTGTCTCTACTCACAAGAAACAAGAAAGTGGGCTGGCTAGCAGCTGCTTGGTGAAATTACAGGAGCTCTACGAGGTCCTCAGGATCCAGGATCTAATGGTGGGGCCACTGAGGTGACCAGGCTAGGGGCACAGAAACCACCACACCCTCACTGACGTGACACATGCATCAGAACACTGCTGTATTACTTATGGTTAGATATTCAAGCTGCTAAGAGGACCAGGGCCTGGAGAAAAGAATTGCACAGGAAACCTAATTATGGCTTGCAGGTTATACTTGGAGTTTTTGCAGGAAATCCCAGGAGCAAGATGATGTCATTATCAAGTGGAAATAATGCCATAAATGGGAAGAGCTCAGAATTGATTAGGTGATGAAACTGACGTGAAAGACCTTAAGCTTTGCCAGTGTAGATGTGTGAGGAAGTCTCTCATACCCACCCAAGGCAGCATTGTTCCTAAAGTGAAAAGTTGCTTAGCAGATACTCCAAATGCCTTCTCAAGAAGCTGGCACCTGGCAGGGTCATTTGTGTGGCACAGATTCCTGTTACCTGAGGGCTCAGAGGCTCTGGAATCCCAGCTGTGTCATAAGAGGCTGGGGCACACTCGGGAGTGATGAATCAGCAGAACCTGCCCCTCCATCCAAAAGACTCAGTTAGGAAAATTCCTGAGCCCAGGCCAGGTCTCCTTGGGTTTCATGATGAGAGAAAACCAAAAACCAAACCACTTGCCATACAATCAGTTCTGACTCATGGTGACCCCATATGCAAAAGAGTGAAACTGTGCTCCTTAGGGTTTTCAGTGGCCAACTTGCCTGAAGTAGATGGCCATGTCCTTCTTCCAAGGTGCCTCTGGGTGCATTCAAGCTCAGCAGCCTTTTGGTTAGTAGTCAAGTGTTTAACCATTTGTGCTACCCAGGGACAGCCATGATGAGAGAGGGGACCCAGAAAAACAGTAAGAGAATCCTTCAAAAGCCTGTCTCACTGGGAGAGATAAATCTGTTGGTGTTTGGGGGAAAAAAAAAAAAAAGAACTTAAATAGTTCTATTACTGTTCCTTGCCCTTCACTAAGAGATTCAGGAAATGAGTGTTTAACTAAAAGTAGCTCAGTGAACTGAGGCACCCTGCCCATAGCAGAGGGCCCAGCTGGAAGACGGGATGATGTCCAGGACTAGGTAGGTCTGAGCCTGCACACCAGGCCTGGGCAGAACTATCGATAAGGAACCACTCTGACCCATTGTCTCTCTGGCCCATTGTCTCTCCTCAGGAGCCTCTAGGGCAGGCTCTCTGTCCCTTCAGAGTGAAAACAGGGATGTGTTAGGAAAAGGTCTGTCAGCTGTGGGCTAGGCTTCTCCCCAGAGAAGGAAGATCTGGTACGAGGTATAGGGACCTCCCCAGAGCTTCATAGAAGAACAGACCTTCATGTGAAGAGTACAGACTACCCCATCCCCACATTACTTCTTCCTGTAAAAAAGATAAATAAAATTCTAATAACTCAAAGGAATTTTCTGAGGGGCAGTGAAAGCCCGTCATTAGGCTAACTAAGAATAGCTGTTCTGCTGGCCTCAAGACCTCCCAGGGAGGAGGTGAGAGAAGAGGCTGTCCAAGAAGCAAACTATATAAAGGGCTGAAGCCCAGACCCAGCACCATGAGCTCTGTGGCCCCAGGGTAAATCATTTTCTGTCTGGGCGTGACAATGAGTTGTGCAGGGTCAGCTGGAGCTTCTCATGTGTCTTAGAGGGTCGTCATCATCATCAGGGCACAGGAGGCGGGGCCTGACATCCCCTCCTGACACCTGGGTCTTGAGCATTAAGGGGCTGGTTGATGGGTGATGTCCCCTAGCTATCCTCAAGCATCTACTGGGTTCCAGGCCTGACCCTAGAGCTGTGGAGGAGATAAATAAGAGAGAATGCACAACCTTTGTCCCTTGAAGTTAGCTCCCTCAGAAGGCCAGGTCTGTCAGACCGACCAGCAGGTACAGTGTCTCTGACACACAGGAGGCTCCAGCCATGCTCAGGTCCATGCTCACTCACTTACACTCTCTCTCGCATGCGTACTACCAACTGTAGGAGAAATGAAGATGCAGTTGAGCTCTGAGGCTCATGGCAGCCACGGCGGGGTAAGGAGATATGGCCCCTTTAAGAAGTCCTGCAGCCTATAGAACCCATCTTCTTGAGGAAGGACCCACCACACACACACAACTAGGGATGGGGTGGAGCTGTGGTTTAGGTCAGAAGTGGAGCCAGTTGAATGGCGAAAATGTCAGATTCTGAGAAGGACTTTACTGGGCTCTTATTGGGACAGGAGAGCTTTGCGGAGTGGGCAGAGAAGCAAAAAGTCCACCAGAAGTATTGAGTCTATTTTGGGGGCTGAGGGACATAGAAGGATAGAGGATTGACTGGACTCTTCCTGATGCCAGAGCAGGGTGGGTGGAGGGTGGGAGGTGGACAAGGTGAAGAGAAGTTTGGATTATGAGGATGTTTGTGTGGCAGAAATAAGAAGTAGGTCAACATCCTCACCTGAGCCCAAGTGACACCTCAGTTGTCCCCTCTGGAGAAAGGAAAATTATGGGACCTAATGGCAGGTCCCAAACAAACAAGAACCCTGCTCTCCTAGAGCTGACATGCTGGTGAGAGAACGTAATAAACACAGAACTAACCTAGCCACTATTCTGGGTCCCTGAAAAAAGGCTAGAGGAACAGAAGGGAAAGGAGGAGGGTAGGAGAGGAAAGTGGCTTCTTCCTCTGGACCTCAGTTTCCCAACATTACAACCTCTAGGGCAGGCAGCGCTCTTTCATCTCAGGACATGAACCCTGACTCCTCTTTTCCTTTCCAGTATCAAAGCATCTTAGAGAATTACCTCTCAGACTCCATCAGGCTCTCACCAGATGACCAGTCCAGGAGCAGATGCTGCTGACCTTCGAGACTCCTGCACTGGACCCCCAGAGACAGAGCCTGCCCTGGGCTTGTGACTTGGCCTTGAGGGCAGATGAGGAACCCTGCCAGCCCCACCGTCTGCTCAAGCTCAGCCCAGGTGGCTTAGGGCTCTGCAGCCAGAGGCCTTGACCTCATCTCATCTGTGCTGGGCCGCTGCCTCGGGCTGAACGTGGTGAGGGTGGAACTGGGACTTCAGGGTTCTAATTGAAGCCCAGAATGTTACAGCCAACTCCAGGCCCTGGAGTAGTCACAATACCCTTGTTGGCCTTGGCTTTCCTGCCATCTTCCCTCCCCAAACACATGCTGCTCCGGAATGCTGCCTCAGTTATAGTCTCCTGTGGACTGGACCTACTCACCCCAGCTCACCACACACCTCCCAAAGCTCAGCACAGCACTGGACATTGGTACAGATCAGTCACCTCAAGAACCCAGGCCAAGAGTGAGGGCCTGGGTGCCTGTCTCAATTCCTGGCAGAAGCTCTTCAGCCCAGGACCACCCTCTTTGCTCCTTCAAGAGTACAGAACTGAGGGAGTACAGGAAAAGCCATCAGGGACTCTGGTCCATGCCTTCTTGCTGCATGTTCAAGTGACTCCGGTAAACCTCTCTGAGCCTTGGCTTGTTCATCTGTCGAATGGGGGTGATAGGCGCTCCGCCTATAGCAGCGTGTGGTTCTGAGGAGCAGAAGCTCAGCTTAAACCTGAGTTGTTTTTGTTGATATACATGTAGACCTTCGACAGTAGTTTTGAGCATCTACTGTGTACAATGCATTAAGGTTCAGTGACAAACAAAATAAACAAGACCTCTCCTGGAGCCGACATTCTGGTGAGAGAGGTAATAAACACAACATAAACAAATATCCTTAAATAGCAGGTAGGTGCTGTGAACAAAGTGAAGCAAGGTAAGAGGGACAGGTTTAGGGTGGGATGTTATTTTAGACAGAGTTGTCCAAGAGGGCTTCCCTAAGGAGGTGGCATTAGCCCAAGGGCTAGAGAATGAGAAAGAAGCTGCAAGGTCTGAGGCCCTGATGCAATGACAAGCTTGCTGTGTTCCAGGAACAGACAAGACATACATTCACCTTGTTGGACTCAGGTCTTGAAAGGAGTGTCGGCGCAAGGAAGCCACCACTGACACGATAATGCAAAAGCAAAAGAAAAGTTTATTTGCTAGCTCGAGCTAGGGTCTCTGCTTATACCAACACAGCAGTTTGGGCAAAAGACCCCGTGCTCTCCTACTATTACATTTTTATAGGAAAAATATAGGGTGGAGTAACACCAAGGCAAAAGGGGTACAAATGATTGGTTGTTGCTAGGGGGTAGAAAAGGAGGGGAGGGGGTTTGAGGTAAAGCTCTGAGGCGTAGGGGATGTGCTGGAGCCAGGTAAAGCTCTGAGGCATGGGGGACGTACTGGAATCCCCGGAGCTAAAGACTTCTGGGTAAAGAATTACCTGGAGAGCATTAGGACTCAGGCCTCACATTCCTTAGGACTCAGGCCTTACACTAAAGACTCCTGGTTAAAGAATTACCTGGAGGGCATTAGGACTCAGGCCTCATATTCCTTAGGACTCAGGCCTCACAACCTGAGGATACAAAGCTGCTGTCCCAGAGACAAGGCAATTGAGCTTGGATTCTTTTCCCCTACCTTTAATGGCACCCTGATGCTGTGTTGACACTGGCCACCAGAGGGCAGCAATGTCCTTTCCCTCCCAGTTTGAACAGAAAATGGACAATGAACACTTGAAGGGCTCTTGTTTCCTTGTGCTGATGCTGAAAACTTGTTCATGGTCTCTGGGCATGTTTAAGATATGTAGGGGTAGTTCCAACTTCTTCAGCCTAGCATGGAATGGGTAAAAATAACATAAGTGATTCAGACAAGAAATCAAAATGGATTTCCTGATCAGCACTGGTGACAAATACTAGAATGAGGGGACTGGAAGGCTCATGGATTCCTGTCCCTGAAGTCTCTAAGGTTATAATCTACTTGTTCTTCTGGCTACAGACAGCACAGATAGGGATTGACAAGGTAGATGGCTTCTTAGGTCTGTCTGCCTACGAGAGACATCTCCTGGGTAGCAGTATTCTTTCCTGCCCTCTCAGCAAAGCCAGAGATGCTGGCCTGTGACTGCCAGGAGTCAACTGACCATTAAGATATGCCTAGAGGAAGGGAGTTGGCTGAGAGGGGGGTCAGCAAGGGAATTACAGGGCCCCTTCTTCCCACACTCACCTCTAGTGTATGAACCGGCACGTCCTGGGCAGCAGCACAGAGCTAGCACCGACAGGGTGGGCACGGAGCACAGCTCTGTCTAGATGTCCTTCAGACCTCCCAGAGATGAGTGACATGCCCTCATAGGGGTCGCATGTTGCACAGGCTCTCCTGGGAGTCAGACTGTGGGTTAGTCAATGTGTCGTGTGGATGTGTGCATAGCAACTTGTATACCACAACACACATAGGGACCATTTCTAAAAATGTGCAACAAGTAATAAATATGTACCTCCTTGTTTTTATCCTTTGTGATATTTAGTTTTTAAATATAAAAAGAAAATGTCTACATAGTTCAGAATTCAAAAGATACTAGAGGGCAGACAACAAAAGCAAAATAAGACCAGTTGCATCATTTGCAAGGGCTAACACAGAAAGAAAGGAGGTCTAGTGGTGTAGTGCCTACGGCATTTAATTGCTAACCAGAAGGTTGGTGGTTCAAACTCACCAACCACTCCACAGAAGGAAGACTGGGCAATCTACTTCCGTAGAAATACCGCCTCAGAAACCCAAGGAGGGCTTGCTATGAGTCAGAATTGACACGATGGTAGTGAGTTTGGTTTTCTTGGGAGTTTTTTAACAAAAAAAGAAAATACCAGGTCTTTTACTCAAAAAGTATTGAGAATTTCAAGATGGCGACAACCGAGCATGAAATCAAGGGCAGTCCTTTCTGACATGCAGAGAGTCAACCCTAGGGCCAGACCACACACCCTGCACCTCTTTCAGAGACAGGAGCTAGGACAGAAGGCTCCAGATGGGGGTGGGGAGTGGGCGGCTGAGGGCCCACAACATCCGTCCTATCACAGCTAAGGAACATCTGTGTGCTGTGACTCCACACCTGGGTGGCCTCCAGTAGAACTGTGGGAATTTCCTGGGCCTTCATTGCCCCTTCTTCAGAAAAGAAAACTCTATCAGCTTCTATCAACAAGAAGGCTCTTGCTCAGGCTGCCCCCAAGCCACCTCAGCCGCCTCTGAGGGACATCCCCAGGCTGCTGCTGAATAGTAGAGAATCCTTGGCCAGGGTTCTGGGTGGCACATGCCCTTGGGGCTTATATTAATAAATAAAAATCTTATCACCAAATAAACCCAAGCTGGGCCTAGCTGGGTGCCAAACTGCCCAAGGGGATTTTGGGAAATGCTGGCTAGTTCTGCTGTTTGCTGCCACAACTGAGGCTCCTTGACCCTCACTGCCTCGCCTCGTGAGCAGCCATGGGCTCTGCAGGCTTTTCCTGGCAGAGTCAGTCACACAGAGGGCACTCACAGCAGGGTTCTTGTTTCCAGGGATCACACAGCCCAGGGAGGGCCACAAAGCAGCCATGCCCATAGCAGCATCCACGATTGAGAAGTGCATTGCAGGCACAAGTAGAGGTCATATGTGCTGTGTGCATACAGGGAGCCTCCACCTCCCATGTGTGCTCCAGGGGCAGGGTGGGGGGATGGGGCTAGACCAGACGTTTATCTCAATAGAAGGCAATGGACCGTATAGGATTTCCACAGTCACACACACGTGTGTGTGTGTGGTATGTGTGGGTTGTACATGGTATGTGTGTGGTATATGTGTATGTAGTGCACAACATATGTGTGTGGTATATGTGTATGTAGTGCACAACATATGTGTGTGGTATGGTAAGTGTGTGGTATATGTGTGGCGTGCACGGTATGTGTGTGGTATGGTATGTGTGTATCATCAGAGTATGTGTAGTATGATATGTATGTGTGATGTATATGTGTGATGTGTGTGGTATATGTAATCTTTGTGTGTGTGTGTGTGTGTGTGTGCATGTGTGGTGGAGAAGGAAGCCAGGACTTAGAAGATCAGAATAACAACAAATTAAGCTGAGGAGACTTCAGGTAAGATGGAGGAATAGGCAGACAAGCAAAACAGACCCTCTTCAATAAAGAAAAGAAAAACCAATTGACAGAGATACTGAAGATAATCCTGGAGCCCTGAGCTTTGAAAGGAACTATGCAGAAGTGAATTAGGCACCAACTAGTGGGAAAACCTAAATGTAAACAGTGAGTACAGAGACAGTCAGAGCTAGACTTTCAGCTACCCTGATAGGACCAACAAGCCTGAATATTTCCAAAAGGTATTGAGACCTGAGGATTGACCTAAAGATCAGCCCTGGTCATGAAGGACTGCAGGGACAACTGTGCTGGTAGCCTATGCCTAGGAAGGAAAACAGCAAGTAGGGAGACAACCTGAGGTATTGACTTTCTGCTGTCCAGAAGACACAGCCATTTTGAATGTTTACAAGCAGTAGTCATTTTGGATAATTAACATGACTGAGGGAACAGCCATTTTGAACCTTTACAAGTGGCAATCATTCTGGATTTTAAAGTGATAGCATTCTCATTCGGATTCCAGGGATCTAAGAATAGGCTCTGTTTCCCAAGGTTGGCAGGGACATACGAGAGACTGACAACAGGAAGGAGACAGGTGGTCAATGTATAAGTGCTGTCAACTAGTGAATAGAGGACCACAGAACAGTACCCTACTTGCATAGATAACATACAAAGAAAACAAAAATTGTGGGCAAGTCACTCCAACATACAATCACCAATTAAATATAAACACATGCCTCAGAGACAACAGAGCATCACAGTCCACACAAAGAAGCAAGATAAAGCAGGAGAAACAAGGGACCAGGATACAGACCCAAAATACATCCCTGAGGAAGATGCAGCATTGGAACTCCCTGATAAGGAATTCAAAAGAATTAT